TGTTCTATATGTATAATAAGAATTGTAATGCATTTTGCTGTCATATATAAATAAAAATAAATAAATAAATGATTTTTTTAAACTGTATTATGTAAGCCTGAAAAAAAATATATGTTCACCAAGGAGATTCTGCAGAAATAAAGTAACTGTGCACATAACTGAAAAAATAAATAAATTTGGGACAATATTAGCATCAAAACAAATAATGATAGTTTTGGATTATAACCCACTGAATAAAATAGGAAGCCACTATATACTGCTATAAATGGATAAATGAAAAGTTTGACAAAAAATGGAAGGACTACTTACATAGTTTCAAAGCACATTCATAAAATACTTATTAGTTTCAAAGGGAATAAGAGTGACTTTAGAGTGGAGGGACCTGTTTAGAAAGCATCTCAATAAACTGATCAAAGTTATCATGGGACTTCTGATATCATTCAACAAAAACAGCATTGATTACACAATATATTTCTGCTGAAGATCAATAACCTGAATTTAAGCAAGAGGAAACATTAGACAAATGTAAATAAAGGACTTCCTAAAAACAAGTCTACAATCTTTCAAAGTGTCAAGGTCATGAAAATCAAGGAACAACGGAGGAGTTTCCTATTGATTCCTTATTCCAGAGTTCTAAAGCAAAGAAATTGTCATTTTACAACACCTACTTGCCCAGTTTTTAGTTTCTTAAAAAAAACAAAACAAAAAAACCACTTTGTGTGCTTTTCAATGAGACTTTTAAATAATGTTCAAGATTTCGGGATAGAGTAGAGGAAAGGGACTACTGGGAGGGAGAAGAGGGAAAGGGGAAATATTGGGAAAGGATACTGGCCAAATTAAATTATTACATTGTGTGTATGTAAGAATATATAACAATGAATCCCACCATTGCATACAAGTATAATGCACCCATAAAAATATGGGGAAAAAAGATTTCTGGAATTTGGTAACAGAATGTATTACCAAAATGTTTTAGTTTAACCAGTTGTTATGGCACATGTGCCTGTAGTTCCAGTTACTCAGGACATTGAGGTAAGCTGGGCACAGTGGTACACTCCTGTAATCCCAGTAACTAAGGATCAAAAGTTCAAAGCCAGCCTTGGAAATTTAGCAAGACCCTGTCTCAAAATAAAAATTAAAAAGGGATGGGATATGGCTCAGTGGTAACGTCTCTGGGTTCAATACTTAGTATCAAAAGAGAGAGAGAGAGAGAGAGAATAAAATTCTTGTCTTTGGAGTATTGTAAACCTGATAATAAATATTTCTATATATATATATATATCATCTTTAATTCCTACAGTTCACCAGGGAAGTAGGAATTAGCCTCATTCTCTAAAAAGAGGAAAAGGATACTGAAAGAGACAGTAGCACTAATTAGGAAGAGAATGTATTCAAACTAAAGATCTAACTAAAGTCCAAGGGTTTTTATTGTTGTTATGTTTTTGTACTTGGGATTGAGTCCAAGCATACTTTACCACTGAGCAACACCTCCAGTACTTTTTTTATTTTTTATTTTAAGACAGGGTCTCATTTCGCTAAATTGCTGAGGCTGGCCATAAATTTGCTATCTCCTGACTCAGCCTCCTGAGTTGCTGCCACAGCACTTGGATAAAACCGAAGTTTTAAGTTTTAATCTTTTCTCAAAGCTTCCTTCCTCTGCGCTGTACCAGGTGTAATTCCATTTCTCTCTTTTGAGTTCATGGCTAAAGAGGCTAAGATTGATCAAATTCATAGGACATGATCATATTTTTCCTGAAAGAAAAAAAGTTTACCATAATATGCTGAGAATCCTATGAAAAATTAATGTGACTGAATATGTATCAACATATTGTCGTAGCAAGAACTTGTCTCAAAAAAGTTTTAGTTTTAAGAGTTAAATGTCTTATTTAAATAGAAATTTAAATATTAAAGCAAATCTTATAATTTAAATAGAAAACGAAAGGACATAGCCAACAGCATTAACAGCTATTCCATGGAAAATAATGGGGTAAGAGTGATCTATTTCATTAAATTCTATGGTATAGACAAGTCACATGTTCTATGGCTTTTTATTTGTGATATTTCTGCTCAAAAGATTAGGCTGTATTAGATAGAAATAAAAAGGGGAGTGCTTGCTTCAGCAGCACATTTACTAAAATTGATACACAGATTAGCATGGCCCCTGCGCAAGGATGACATGCAAATTCATGAAGCATTCCATATTTTTATTTTATTTACATCTATATTTTAATTAATAATTAATTAATTTTATTGGTTCTTTTTAGTTATACATGGCAATAGAATATACTATGACATAATTACATAAAGCATGGAATTTGTTCTAATTCAGTCCCCAGTATTGCCCCTTCCCCTTCTTTCCTCCCACTCCTTCCCTTCCCCTTTCCCTCCACCCCCTACATTAAAATCTCAATGAGAGAAAAAAAAGAGGGGGGGCAGCAGGGTGTGGTGGCCAGGCCTATAATCCCAGAGGCTCAGGAGGCCAAGGCAGGAGGATCCACTTCAAAGCCAACCTCAGCAAAAGTGAGGTGCTAAGCAACTCAGTGAGGCCCTGTCTCTAAAAATAATACAAAATAGGGCTGGGGAAGTGGCTCAGTGGTCGAGTATCCCTGAGTTCAATCCCCGGTACCCTCTGCCAAAAAAAAAAAAAAAAGAGGTGGGGAATGACAACCTAAAATTTCAAGTTTCTCTTTCTATATATCAAACTTCCATTTTGAGAGCACCAACAGAAACAATTCTACAAACTTCTAACCCTGTGATTTTATGATATTTAAATCCCAATTTTTAGAGGAGAATTTCAAGTTTAAGGCCAATCTCAGCAACTTAGTGAGGCCTTCAGCAATTTAGCAAGTCTCTTGTCTCAAAATAAAAATAAAAAAGGAGTGTGGATATAGTTTAGTGCCCTTAGGTTCAATCCTCAGTACCAAAAGTTAAAACAAACCTGTTTTTTTTTTTTTTTTTTGGTACTGGGGCTCTTAACCACGGACTCACATCTCTAGACTTTTTTTTTTTTTTTTTTTTCCCAGAGACAGGGTCTTAATAAATTGCTGATGCTGGCTTTGAATTTGCGATCCTTCTGCCTAAGTCTCCCAAGCCTCTGGGATTATAGGCATGTGTAACGGCACTCAGCAACTCAATTTTTAATCTTGGACACAGAAGAAATAAGAAGAGCGGAACAAAACAATAAACAAACAAAAGAACTGTTTGAAGATTTGCCAGTAATTTGTCAGTCAATACTCAAATTTAGAATTTTCTTTCTTTTTAGAGAGTAGAAGCTAACTCTTCTATACTGCCGCCAGGTCAACAGCTATTTCTGACCAAGTGACTATCAATCCGTGTTTATTGAGAATCATTTTGTGTAAGTCTGCCCTTAGAGAGAATTAATGGTTATTTATTCATACTTTCAAACATTTTCATTTGGCAGCATATTCTGCCTCCTCATTTCTTTCTCATTTGCTGGGCTTTACATTTTGTGCTTTTATCTATCCCAAGTGCTGTGTTTCAGTTATATGTAATTCCATATAATCCAATATATGGAATTCACTTATAACATTATTTTTAGATCCCTTAATTCTAAAATTCATCATTTCTCTTATGAAGTCACAAAATACATGCATTTTTTATTTTGACCTGAATTTGTACAGTCCCATTATAAGTGTTATTTCTAATTAAGGATGGAAAATGATATTTCATTTGCAATTGGGAAAAATCCAGTAAAAGGATATTCACTTAAAAAATGGCTAAGATCTTTATTAAAAATTTGATAAGAAAAAATTTTAAAAAATTCATCATGGCTCACTCTTTCACTTTACAAACAAAGAAATTTGAGTCTATGGAGGTTAAGTTACAGGCCCAGGTTCACAGGACCCGTTAGTGAAGACCCAATATTGGAACCCAGCCACCCTAACCGATGTATAGGGTTCTCTGTAGAGTATAGTTCTATGCTATGAAATTCGCCAATCTTATAAGTAGGAACCACCTCATTGTGCTCTTTTTTAATATTTATTTTTTAGTTATAGGTGACACAATATTTTTATGTGATGCTGAGGATCGAACTCAGTGCTTCACACAGGTAGAGTGAGGCTCTATCTCTGAGCCACAACTCCAGCCCTTCATTATGTCTTCTGAAATTTCATTAAGTATGCTATGTAAATAGAAATTTAAATATTAAAGCAAATCTTGTCATTTAAATGGAAAATTAAAGTGCATAGCCAACTCTCTGGGCATAGTCTTAGACAAGCAGTGCAGTGTAATTTAAAGTTTGCAGACTGAAGAGAACATGACAATTGATAAACTTTAGGCACATTTGAAGATCAACAATGTAAGGATGTTTTGGAAAGGGTTGAAGAACTTAAACAGCCCATGCACTATACACTTTAAAGATTGGAAATATGGTATTCAAAAGTCAACAGATAGACCTTTAAAGCCAGTAAAAAGCAAAATCATTTAAACTGGGATCTAATGAAGAAAGGAATTTATCATACTGGAATAAGAATTTTAGTAGGTTTTGATTGGGAAGTAATGATTAGAAGGGGAAAATATAATAAAGGAGAAAAAAAAGTCATTAAGGAGAGGAAGTTAGTAAATTGAAGAGAAATTTGTAAACCAGTCAGACTTGAGAGAATAGTTCAGACCTTGTGAAGACAAAGAGAGAAAAATAAGAGAAATCAGGCAGAACTGTAGCATCGTTTGGATTCTCTTAACCTCAAGTGAGGATATTCAGGTCCACAGAAGGAATCTATGTAGAATTAAGGTTTTGGACACAGCACTCTGATCCACTTCTGATCATGCTGACAAATACATGAGGGGTCCAATTTCTCTACATTCTTGCCAAGACTTATTTTTCCATTTTTCAAATGATAGCCACATTAATAAGTATGAAGCAGTATCTGATGGTTTTGACTAAATCAATGTTTGGTTTTTAACTGTATATTTGTCATAGTACTGGGAAACTTGAAGCCAAGTTGTGCCACAACTTAAACAAGAACATTCTTATATTTTACCTTTCTTCATACATTCTTTTTCCATTCCCTCCTTGTATGTGTACAAGAGTTCATCAACTTCTCTCAGATCCAGGAAGCCTGAGCCATCACTGTCCCACTTCTGAAAGAGGGCTTCTAGAAGAAGCTCCCGGCGGACTCGGAAAGCCTTTTGTCTAACCTGGGATACAAACAGGTTAACAAGGTACAGAAGACACGATGTTAACTGTGCTAGCTGGCATCCTGTGTTTATACCAAATAATTGCAGTATCTTTTATAAAAACAGCTTATTTGGGGGTTAACCATGATATTAATGGAAAATGCAGTTATTAATTTTAACCTCTTTAATGTCTTAAGGTTTCACCTTAAGACCAAAACCACTCAGGCATTCTCTGGACTCAAGCATATTACCTTAGAAAGGATACTGTACTTCTTAAGAATCTTGTATTATTCCTTCCCACATCTTCCCTGGTCATTACAAAATACGATAAACATGGGCTGGGGTGGTGGCTCAGTGGTAGAGTGCTTGCCTGGCATATGTGAGGCACTGGGCTCGATTCTCAGCACCGCATATAAATAAATGAATAAAATAAAGGTCCATCAACATAAAAAAATTTTTTTAAATATGATAAACACATGGGATGTTCTCACTGGATTCCTAGGGATATTCTGTAGGGAAAGGGAGTGTTGAAATAACTAAAAAATGGTTGTTTTAAAAATTCTCTTTCTTCCTTTCTTTTTCTTTTGGTACTGGGGATTGAACCCAGGGTCACTTAATCACAGAGCCACATTCCCAGCTCTTTTATTTTTTTATTTTGAGACAGGGTCTTGCTAAAGTAATTAGGGCATCTCCAAGTTGCTGAGGTTGGCCTTGAACTTATGATCCTCCTGCCGCAGACTCTCAAGTTGCTGGGTTTACAGGTGTGTGCCACTGTGCTCTGCCCAAAATTCTTTTCTATATTAATTTTGATGGCATTAATTTTATTTAACTGTATGTTTTTACACTATTTTAATTATATTAATTAGATCATAAATTGAGTTCATATACAGATATATTTAATTGCAAAAAAGAGAGTGAATATATACCTTTTGTTTTAAGTGGTGGGGAATTGCAGTTGAGGAGGCAAAAAGGAAATCAACTCTGGAATCAGGCTGAGAAAACTCATAAGGCTGATGAAATTACTGAATAAGTTTGGTGAAATGAGTCACATGTTTCACATATGAGAACATAAGTTATTTATATTGGATGATGCATATGCATTTATTTACCACCAAGAAAGTACTAAGTTCCTAGGAAATATGTGTTACTTGAGCGCCCAAGAATAAAAACACATATTCAAGCCATAATCATACCCTTAGGTATGTGCATTTGTAAACGCACTCACAGAGCAGATGGTGCACACGTACATCTTCACACATACACACATTTACTCCTCAAGTTTCAGAGAAGGAAAAAACAAAGCTATATTATAAACCATCTCCTGCCAGGAGTAATCATGTTATTTTAGGGGAATGAATTCTCTGGAGGATGATCTTAGAGCATTCACCAATAAAACAAGATATTTAATGGCTATGCTTATTGAAATAAAATGATAAATTTGGACATACTTTTTTTTTAAGGAGAGTGACATGGGGAGCAACTGAAATTGAGAAATTTGCTTATAATAGTGACCTCACTTGTTTCATCGATAAGTAATATTACCCACCTGTTCTAAGGCACTCATTTTCTCTTCTTTTGTTTCAAAATAGCCCCTCTTAAAAAAGGAAATCAGGCTCTCGCTGACACTCAAGGGGGCATCTTCACCAACAAATGTCTCTAGGAGCTGCACAAACTGGAGCAGATTGAAAGAAACTCCATTGAAGGCACTCCTCCCTCTTATTTCCTTGTAAGACTGAATATTTCTGATAATCGGGTGTAGGTCTATGAAGCAGTAAACAGATACCAAGCAGTTAAGTGAATGATTCTCTCAAATCTTATGGAAAATAAATGACTATCTATTGTAACAGACATCTGCTATTGTTTTGATTTGTTTTATTCTGGTGCTGGGAATTGGACCTAAAGCCTAATGCATGCTAAGTTGTGCTCTCCCACTGAACTAAATCCCCAGCTATAATATCTACTATTTTTGCCTGTCAGGAATCTATGCTCCCTTTATGAGGACAGCATCCATCTTTTTTCCTTGGGAAAACATTTCTCCTCCACTGTCAGTTCTAAGGAATCTGGTGGTACTATGCATCCACACCCTTGTTCCATGGATATGTATAAGAGGTCTGGCCAATGATTTATATTGATAGCAATGTAATCCACTACAGGCCAATGAGAATTAGCTCCAGGACTTTCAGGAGAACCATTGGGCAAGAATCATTCTTTTTGTATTCTGATTGCTGAACCAGTAGGATGTAAGTTTAGAGATGCTCTGTGGCCAATTTTCTACAATATGGAGAAAACTGCCTAAAATTGAAAGTGACAGAAAGACATTGAGACAGAAAGACATTGTCTGGTATTGTTGAATCCAGTTGTATCTGAAGACAGTTACATGCTGGACTCCCAAATTAAATAAATTAGTAAATACCACCACTAAAACTCCTCCCACTAAGAATGGTAACTAAGGTATTCATCTTGAAGCTTAATGTTACAACATGAAGTAACATTACATTAAGTAACAAAATGTCAGTCCAGAGACTTATGTTTGATTTATTCATGCATGCCTTAAACCTTCTATATGAGACTTGAAATAACTAAAAATGATCACCCATGCAAATTTTTAAAAAATATTCTTAGTTGTAGATGAACACAATACCTTTATTTTATTTTTTATATTTATGTGGTGTTGAAGATCAAACCCAGTGCCTCACATGTACTAGGCAAGCACTGTACCACTGAGCCACAACCATAGCCCCATCCATGCAATTTTTAAAAAACACTAAAGTAAAACTGACATAAAGACTAGAAAGAAAAATATTAACTTTGGACCATAAGAGCTGACCAATACTTGATTTTCTATTTAGTGAAAATATTATTTCACCAGAATTTTTTAGCATAGTTAAGTCTGTTATATAGCCCAGGTTTAAATAAGGAAATAATTTGCAGATAGAAAGAAAATAATCTTGATCTAATTAGTTCTACTACTTGTTGATATGACAAGGAAAATATAAAATAGAACTTTAATTAAACATGACTAGAGTACTATTCAAAACAATTATAGTTTAAACATGTGATTTGGTGTACACTTGTAATCCCAGCATTTTGGGAGGTTGAAGCATGTTCATAGCCAGCTGCAGCAATTTTGGGAGGCCCTAAGTAACTTAGCAAGAGCTTATCTCAAGATAAAAAATTTAAAAATAAAAAAAAAAGGGTTGGGGATGTGGCTCAGTAGCTAAGCACCCCTGGGTCCAATCCAAAATACCAATACTACCTTTCTTTGAAAGTCTTCAAAAACAAAATAGATTCTCATTTGTCTCATATGTTTGGATGTGGACCTACTAGGAAGAGAAATAGCTGGCACAATTTCTATTGAATTCTAATATCTAACATCTGATTTCTTTTGTATGCTTGTACCATATCTTCAAAGCAGTTATAGGGCCATATAATAGCAAAAAAGTCTATTAATATCATAAGTTTGAAAGCCAAAGAATATTCATTGATAGTAGATGTCACTACCAATAGCATGTCACCATTAGAAACACCCATCTTACATATATTCATATCCATCAGTTCTCAGGAACAAAGCAATGTAAGGATTCTGTTGTGTCTTAGTTAAATCCATTCTTTCTCATGGGATACCACAGTAAATTAAAGTCACCTATGCTTCCTTACTTTCATTGTTAACACATACCTGTAAACTTGGAGTTATTATAGATTAAGTGTGCTTGATCCTCATCTTCAAATTTGACATACTTCCTCCTCCAGTTACAAGCAAAAAATTCACCTATAAAAACACATTTCATAACACAGCCAATTTAAATTCACTTTCACAAAGTTTTTGTCCTAGGTAATACATGAAAATAAGATTAAATAAAAAGTTACCTGACCATGATTTTCCTTCTATTTTGGGGGACTTGGGTTCACAGGATCTGTCTTTCTGAATGTCCTTTCTTGTGGTAGCTAAAAGGTATACAAAAGAAAATTTCTATGAATTGGACATTATGTCTTCTATTACATATCCTAAGGTTAATGAATGGGAAAAATACCTTTCATATAGAACACTAAAAACTCTGAGTATTTCCTCATATATATTGTGTCATAATCAACCACAATTAAGTCACTTAATAACTTAAATGGTTGACAGCAGCTCTGTGGCAAAATCTGCTTGTTGTATCTCAATTTGGCCATGCAATATGAAACATTTCCCAGTTTCCCTTAGAGTGACATATTTCTATATGCCTAAATTGTGACCAATGAGATATGACTAAATATTTGAAATGCAGGGTGGGTTTTTTTGTTTGAAATATATCTTTTATCTGAAAAAAAACCAAGACCCATTTTTATAGTTAAAAAAATATTAAAAAGTGGTTTCTAAAAAGCCCCATTTAAAATAAAGGGGCTTTTTCCACCTTTTCAAAAAACCCAGTTAAAACATTTCTACATGTAACACTGCTAGATTTCTTCCTTGTTTTTTTAAAAAATATTTTTTAGTTTTGGGTGGACACAATATCTTTATTTTACATTTATGTGGTGCTGAGGATCAAACCCAATGCCTCGTGCATGCTAGGCGAGTACTCTACCACTGAGCCACGATCACAGCCCAATTTCTTCCTTGTTAATGAATTTCTAGTACAAATTAAATTCTTGGTAAGCTGACAATAGAGACATTCTGGTTTGCATTTAATTGATTATTCAAGGTCTAGACTCATATTTTGAGTAGCAAAATATGTCTAAGGTTTGCATGACCTGACATGCCAAAAATGATCCTAATTTAAATGATTATTTTTCTGAAAAGACTTTAAAAACCACTTCACAAAACAAGTAGCTGATGTTGTAGGAAAACTGAATCACTACCTGAACTATCTTTTTTACTGGATGTAGGAAGGTCCTCTTGTAGTTCTTCTAATAATTCCTCTTCATACAGTTGCTCCTTTTCTTGTGAAGGGAATTCAATATATTCAGATTCTGCACTTGTTCTAGAGATTCTAACTTCCCTTGATGGTGAAGTTGAGTCTACATCCTCTTGTTTTTCTGGAATTCTCTCTCCATATAGATTGTGCTCTTCTGTGTGTGGTTCTTCTGTTGTTAACTCTGTGTGTGATCCATATTCTGAATATGATGCTTTGTGTGGTCCTTGACCTGCTGTTGATCCTTTGTGCTGACTTTGTCCTGCTGTTGACCCTCTGCGTGATCCATGTTCTGAAGATGACATTCTACGTGGTCCTTGTCTTGTTATTGATGCTTTGCTCTTCCCTTGTTCAGAAACTGACTCTCTGTGTGACCCTTGTTCTGCAACTGACTCTCTTCTTGGTTCTTGTTCTACCATGGAGCTTCTGCGTGACCCTTGTTGTGTAACTGACTCTCTTCTTGGTTCTTGTTCTACCATGGAGCTTCTGCGTGATCCTGGTTCTGCAACAGACTCTCTTCTTGGTTCTTGTTCTACCATGGAGCTTCTGCGTGACCCTTGTGTAACTGACTCTCTTCTTGGTTCTTGTTCTACCATGGAGCTTCTGCGTGACCCTCGTTCTGCAACAGACTCTCTTCTTGGTTCTTGTTCTACCATGGAGCTTCTGCGTGACTCTTGTTGTGTAACTGACTCTCTTCTTGGTTCTTGTTCTACCATGGAGCTTCTGCGTGACCCTTGTCCTTCAATTGACCTTCTGGGTGTTCCCTGTTCTGTCATGGAGCTTCTGCGTGACCCTTGTCCTTCAATTGACCTTCTGGGTGTTCCCTGTTCTGTCATGGAGCTTCTGCGTGACCCTTGTTCTTCTATTGACCTTCTGGGTGCTCCCTGTTCTATCATGGAGCTTCTGCGTGACCCTTGTCCTTCAATCGACCTCCTGGGTGTTCCCTGTTCTATCATGGAACTTCTGCGTGACCCTTGTCCTTCAATCGAACTTCTGGGTGCTGACCCTTTGTGCTGTCCTTGTCCTTTAATTGATCCTCTGTGTAGTCTCTGTTCTGTCTCTTGTTCTGTAATTGACTCTGGGATATTTTCTTGTTCTGTGTCTGGTTCTTCATAGGATTCTTGTTCTGCAGTTGAAGTTCTTTGTGGTCCTTGCTCTGCAGTTGTCTCTCTAAGCTGTTCTGGTAGGCTTGATTTCCTCTGTTCATCAAGTTCTTGTTGGTTTTCTGATAACTGATTTTGAGTTTTGCTGTCATGTTTTTCAGAAAGTAATGCATTCATCCTTAAAAGCACCTTATCAAAGTCTTCATAAATATGTTTCTGATTATCCATGTCTCCCCAGAACTCAAGCAAGTCTATCTCTTCAAATTCAACAAATGGCCCTAATGCAGAAAATAAAACATTTACCTAAAAAATTGATCTTATATTGTAGAACCAGAGATATTAATGTTTTAAAAGCTGAGCATAGTGATTATATATAGGCTTATTTATTATTCATTATTTTAAATTTTTTTTGGTACCAGGGATTAACCCCAGGGTGTTTAACCACTGAGCCTCAGTACTGACCCTTTTAGTTTCTATTTTGAGACAGGATCTTGCTAAGTTGCTGAAGTTGGCCTTAAACCTGCGATCCTCTTGCCTCACCCTCCAAAATCACTGGACTACAGGTGTATGCCACCATGCCTGGCTAGGCTTATTACTTTAAAATAACATCAGTTATCTTTTGCTGAAATCCCATAAAACGCAAAAAAAAAAATATTCAAAGGAACATTTTAAAATGCTCACTATTATGAATTAAATATCATCCCTTCCTAAAAGGTATAGTTTGAGAAATGAACATATTTTTCTTTTGGTATTTGAAATGTTGCTTAGACTGCCAAAGCAAGTAAAATTTGTCCTCTACATTTGTGGTCCTCCCACGATAAGCATAGCTTAGAGAGCAGGAGGGGAACACATCTTTCCATCTTGATATCTTTTTAGTTTCTGTGATATAAAAATAAAAGCAAGTCTTTATTCATGGCAGTCTTTTAGTGGGGCTATGTTTTTCCAATATTCGCTTTCCTTCTCTTCTTCAATCCTCATTTCTTTTCTTCCACAACTTATGTGGACACCTGATTCAGAATTCTAGGCAAAGGGATTGGTGGGTATCTCAGTGGGAGTGTAGTGGCACCCCCTTCTCCACAGAAAATCTAAGCTTCTCCAGAAATCTTCACCATAATTGATTTTAGGACTCTCAGCCAAAGAGTCTCTACAAAAGAGTTCAATGTAGTTAAACTTCCTGTTTTCCTGTTGCTGCATTTAACTTGGCCATTGGCCTGGAAGAGATCAGCACTCTAGGTGCTGAATGCCCCTTTACTAGTTTTCACAAACATTTATCCAGTATAGTAGTTTGTAGAAGTGTGTTTGCAAATGCAAAATGTGATTTTTTTTAAAAAAAAGACAGATCCCTTAACAAGTGCTCTGGTCTTGAGTTGGAGCTTCACAGAGATGTCTACATTTCTAAGATAAGTTCCCAATTGGGCTCCATGGTAACAGCTGGCAGGGAGAGGAAAGAAAGGGGAGAAGAAGCTCTCCCCTTCTCAGGCGCTGTCCTTAAAGGGTTAACTTGCCCAGAACAGTGAAAGAAAAAGCTGGGGGGGTATAATGTTCTAAAACTACTTGAACTTGGGGCTCAAGGGGATTGATTGATTACAGTGAAAGCTTTGCCCTCTGAACCTGGCTATAGCTAAATAAACCTGCTTCCTGATCCTATTTGGTGTCTTGCCTGTCTGTCCCTTCCATCAGGACAGCATTTGCTCAGCAGGTACAAGGCCCTGGATTCAATCTTCAGAGCAAAAACAAAACAAAACAAAATGAGCAAAACACTCCAGGGAAAGAATGGATAACATTCACCAGAATCCTGCTGTTAAAAAATATAATAACAGTGGGGCAGGCGGGATGGTGCACACCTGTAATTCCAGCTGCTAGGGAGGCTGAGACAGGAGGATAAAGAGTTTCAAGCCAGCCTCAGCAAGAGCCAGGAGCTAAGCAACTCAGTGAGACCTTGTCCCTAAATAAAATACAAAGTAGGGTTGGGGGTGTGGCTCAGTGGTTGAGTGCCCCCGAGTTTAATTCCTGGTACTAAAAAGAAAGAAAGAAAGAAAAAAGGAGAGAAAGAAAGAAAAAGAAAACCCAACAACAAAAACTTGGTTTTCAGGGACTGGGGCTGTAGCTCAGTGGTAGAGTGCTTGCCTTGCACATATGAGGCAATGGGTTCGATTCTCAGCACCACATAAAAAATAAATAAATAGAGATTAAAAAAATAATAATGACAAATTCTTAAAAAAAAAAAAAAAACCACATACACACAAAAACTTGGTTTTCCAGATTGCAGGAAGTAGAACTCAAACCATAACCAGCCCCTTCAGGATAGTAATTAAGCTATAAAATTGTGATTCCCACAATTTTTAGAAATATTCTATGTATATCACCCATAGATTTTTTTAAGCATTCAAGTAGTAAATCTTCACCCAAATAAAAAATTGATATCATTTGGAAAACCCAGTTATGAAAAGATTTTCTCTTTAAAAATACAAGTAAAACTCAATCCATTTTTGTAGAAATATAAAAAGACTATTTTACCACATAAGTATATGAAAGGTATACAAGTAAAATGCATGGGAGAATAAACCATTTTTCTAGAAATGTTAGCATTTTAAGTTGGGCATTAAAATAGGATAACCAATATCAAATTAATTTCCAAGACATTCAAATTGTCACTAAAGCCTCTTTTTATTTAAATGAATTGAAAATTGAGTTCTAGCTGAGTTCTGACAACATTGAGTACTGTACCATGCTGAAAAATACATCTAGTTGTAATGAGGAGTAAATTTTGTGGGAGAATGAACAAATAAATATAGCCATCAGGACTTAAGGAAGATGTTATGTAAAGGCATTCCACAGGGGTAGAATGATCTTATGCTGTCCTGTCAGTGGACTACGATACTTCAGCTTGAGCGTGCTCCTCCCTCTGAGCGGCACTTACATTGTCTTGGGTTTCTAAGTAAATGCTTACGCCTTCGTTTAAGTCTATCATAGAATGTTTCCAGCAAGGCCAATGTCCTCTGCCGATCCAAAACCCCTACCTAAACAGAAAGATTGTAATTAGTAGTCACAGGAGATTTAAGATTTTTATGTAGAAAGAACAATGACTAATTTTTGGATTGAAAAAAATTGAGGATTGAACTTAGGGCTCTCTACCACAGGTCTACATCCTCATCTTCTTTTTAAATTTTATTTTTTTTCAGGGTCTCACTGAGTTAACTAGTCTCAGACTCCTGCCTCAGCCTCCTGAGTCCTCAGCCTGTGTGCCTGTAAGAACTGGCTATCAGCACCATTATCATTATCAAGTATGTAAAAGCAGCAGCAGCAAAATTAGGAAAGCTCTATCTTGTCTAGGTGAGGCTTATACTCAACTTCCCCATTCTGTGACATATCAAATACCTTGCACTTAGTAAATGTTAAACAAATATTTATTACTGACTTGTTAATTGCTTGAATTCAACATGATGTTCTGTTCTTATCTAACCTGACTTGAACATGTCATAATTAACAACTCCTCCCTAACTTATTCTTTATTGTATTGTTCTATTTTGAGAAAAAAATAATTACAGAAAAATATAGAAGATGACAAAGCTAACATCTGTGTTTTCAACATTCAGAAATCATGACTATTTAAAGTACACACAAAAATGTATGTGTACAAAACAGAAATAGTACGTGTATCCTTCTTCTTCTTCATTCTTTTTTTTTTTTTTTTTTTGGTACTAAGGATTGAACTCAGGGGCACTCGACCACTGAGCCACATTTCCAGCCTTATTTGTATTTTATTTAGAGACAACTCTCACTGAGTTGCCTTGCCATTGCTGAGGCTGGCTTTGAACTCGCAATCCTCCTGTCTCAGTCTCCTAAGGCGCTGGGATTACAGACGTGCTACACTGCACCTGGATGTACATGTATCCTTCTTCATATTGCTTTTATTTATTCAACATTGAGATCTAACTTCTGTATATAAAGAAATGTACTTTATTCCTTTTAACTGCTATAGAGTATAATATAATGTGAAAGCACTACAATTTTCTTAACATTCCTCTATTGATGAATATTTAGGTTATTTCCAGTATTTTGATATCAAAATAATGCTGCAACAAATATCCTTATACACATCTTCTTGTGCACATTTGCAAACATTTCTCTAAATAAAGTGGAATTAGTGTATTATATAAAATATGCATTTTATTATATAAATTATATATATTATATAAAATATGCATTGCTCCATAAGTGTTCCATACCAATTTACATTCTCACTAACAATGAGAGTATCTATCATTTATCCATATCAATACTGATATTGTTAATTTATGATTTCTCCAATCTCATCAATAAAATGGTAACTTAATATTTTAATTTGTAGTTCCCTAATTATTAGTGAGGTTAAGTATGTTTTCATGTATTTACTATGTATTTATCTTTTAGACTTCTGTGAATAGCTTTTTCTTGTCCATATTCCATTCTTTAGTTGGGAAGAGTTGTCTGTTTCTTATTTATTTGTAAAATTTTGTTGATGCTGCAAATATCTTTCCCCAATCTGTTCCTTATCTTTTAATCTAACTTTTGGTGAATTTAGACATACTAATGCTTTTAACTTTGAGACAGTCAAATAAAGGAATCATCTCCTCTATGGTTTGTGCTTACTTGGTATATCTTTTAGAAAATAATCACTTATGCTGAGGTCAAAAGGTATGCTCTATATTTACTTTGAAAATTTTTAAAATTTTGTTTTCTACATCTGTTTCTGATCATATAAAATTCATTTTTTCTCATGAATAAGGTTGGAATCTAAGTTTATATTTTTCCCCAGTATAAAAGGCAATTGTCTCAATATTATTTATTAATTAGTTTTTTTTCTCATTAATTTATATTGCTATACTAAATCTCTACATGCTCATGGGTTGGATGACAGGTATAATATTCTGTTTCATTGAATTGTCTATTCCAGCCCCCAAACCAAGCTATTTTAATTAATATAACTTTATTTTAAAAATCAGGGATATTCTCCCAAACTTGTTCTTCATTGTGTATTTGACCTTTTGCTATTTTTGGACCTCTGTTTTTCCCATCTGAATCTTTTTAACTAAACATTCAAAAAAATGGAACATATAAACAGACAAGCACAAAAATCATGTGTATGGCTTTATTAATTAAAAGAAGGTAAACACACCAGGTGCAGTGGTGTACACCTACAATCCCAACTTCTAAGGAGGCTGAGTCAGGAGGATCACAAGGCCAGCCAGGGCAACTCTGTGAGAACCTATCTCAAATCAAAAATAGAAAAGGTTGGGGATGTAGCTCAGTGGTCGAGCACCCCTAAGGTTCTATCCTCAGCACTGCCCCAAATAAATAAATACACACAGGAACTGTTTCTCAAAGAATAACAAACTTTAATTGAGAGCAGGGTTTTGTTCCAAAACTCAAGGGATCTATACTGTTATTCTACTATTACAGCTTGCCACAATATTTTTAAAAAGCCTACAAAGCCTTTTCTTTTTCTGAAATTCATTCTGGCAGGCAATGTCTCAATTAATGCCTAAGAGCAACACACACAAATTAATTTATAAGACAAGCACATGCAAATGTGGTAAAGATTGTTTCAAAAATGTAAAAAGGTCCAATCAACATAGTGCCTCTTACTTAGTGGCATGTGGCACAAGTTACAGCAATTTACCTAATTAGTTACAGAATTTACCTAATTCTTAGAACCACTGGACTGCTAAAAATTCACCAACTCCGAATTTTTATGTCCCATACTCTGACACAGATGAGTCTTACCAAGGCATCTAAGGGTACTTCTGATTAATCAAGCCCAATTACCATGATGATCATAATCAATGTAGTGCATATGTGTGATGTTCTGTTATATGTCAATACAATCAACTGCATACTAGATTATAATAGAGAAAAGGAGAGCATCTTTTGCTCTAAGGCAAGGCGGTGAAAATATACTGCTGTTCCTGATGGGTAAAGTCAAAACTTCTGTTGGTTCCTGTATACTCTTATAGAGAAAACAACACATAACAGACCAATGGCCAAGAATAAGAGGACTATGTCAATCTAGTCCCATAAGGATTCCACACCTGGAGTGGCTGCTGCAAACAGAATCACATTAATATTACTGAGATGTATCCCTTCTATGAGGACAAAACAGGAGATTAGGTAAGTGTGACAGGATTACTTTCTCTGTATCCTTTATATATTTTCATATCTAATCTACATGGAATTTTCTATTCCATTGTTTTAATCTGCTTGTTTCATTTTTACCATTTTGGCAAATGGAAAATTTAGAAGTTCCTATTTGGTCCTTTCTTTCATAATAGTTGTCAGTCCCCAATTTGGAGAACAAATGTGAGGATTCTGTTAGTTGTTGGATGTTGTCTATTCCAAGCAAACACTCAGGGATCAGAAATAACCATTGCTAAGTCCTATAATATAGCCTTGGACCAAAATAGCATTTATCACCTGACATCAATAAGTCCTAGCTTTAATCAACTGACACTTGGGATGTTTGGGGATCTTAGGGCTTAGTGTTAATTTGGAGTCAATTTCTGGTAATTCTTGAAGGTCTGGAGTATTTCCCTTTTCTCAATGTGTATTCATCCTGGTAAATGGATACAAGTCCTTTAAAGATGTAGTATATATACTTGTGGAAGTCTTGTAGACTTTTTTTTCTCAGGAAACACAGCCTCCCCTTCAGACAAAGATTTCTAGATGTATGAACTGACTTCAGTTTGAAGACTAGGTAAGAGGCCAAGACTTTCTATTGTGGCATCTTTCTGGCTTCATATTAGTGAGCCAGTAATAATCACATAGACATTCTAATTCTTAAGGAAACCATGATCACCATGAAAATCCATGTGTGTCTAATCCCCATTCTTCTTTACTGTAATTCCAGTTATATATTCAGATCTAGAGAAATAACCATAGTGTGAATCCTAGAAAAATTGGATCCCATTAGAAGATGGATTTGGGGATTAGGTCAAAATGCAACTTATCAATAGTATTTGCAAACACTAATTTGACTAGGACACTTTGTTTCTGGTATTTAAGTGTCATGAGTCTTCTGTCATTCTGGAATCCAATCATTTTCCTTGAAATCAGAAGTTCACCTCAGTGGCAGTATCTCTAACCATTAACTATCACAAAACTTTTTAGCAATGCTGTCATTCCCTTCATTAATTTCTTGATTATTTCTTAAGGGAGTGTCATCTGGGCTCTCTTGGGCAATCTGATGGAGGTGCATATGTGGCAGGCAACATATGAGAAATCAACTTTAGCAATCTTTTGATTTTTAAAATTTTTTCTTTCCCTATTGAATGACAAGAAGGTTCTAGCATCTCAATCTCATTGAACCTAGGCCACCTTTGAGTTATGGTTTCATTTAATCTACCAAACAAGCTATGCACAGATACTCAAAATATTACTGCAAAGTAAACCTTCTAAGTATAACCATATTGATTAATTTGAGACAACCCAATATTATATCCATCCTCCTTATTCTGAAAGTACTATAATCAATTCCCAAATACATTCCCCAGATTTCTGCTGTTTTGAATTAGTAAAATAGTGCCGTTCTCTTAGAATACCAGCAATCATTTCTCAAGACAAACTTTGAACTAGTACTCCTGGGGCATACTGAGATCTGACTCCAACATTATTTAAAAAAAAAAAAATTTTGGTATGGTAGTTATATGTTTAGATTTTTAAATTATTTGTTCTCTTTAGATATACATGACAGTAGAGTGTATTTTGACATATTATACATACATGGAGTATAACATTCTAAATATGATCCCATTCTTCTGGCTGTTCATGATATGGAGTTTCACGGGTGGCGTATTCATATATGCACATAGGAAAGTTATGTCCAATGCATTATACTGTCTTTCCTATTCTGATCCCCACTCCCTTTCCTTCCTTCCCCTTTGTCTAATCCACTGAACTTCGATCCCCTCCACACACTTATTGTGTGTTAGTATCCACATATCAGAGAGAACATTCAACCTTTGGGTCTTTGGGGATTGGCTTA